ACAACGTGCTCAACAAGCGAAATCATCTTGGAATACAGAAGGTTCCACTACTCATCTGGGCCCGATGGTAGAGGGATATTCCAATCCACAGCGCTAGCGGCCACTTTCAGGCGGATTGGATCGGCACGCCAGAAATTTCTGCGGAAACTATCTTGGTTGTGAAGAGTGAGGCGTCGGGTCCAGCGGGATGAAACCATGCAGTGTTCACTATTACCAATAGGCGGAAGAGTGATAATGTCTGCGACATCTGATTGCGCCGGGGAAAGCACAAGATCGAGAATATGGGGGGTCTGTCCAAAAGTATACGGGTAGGCACAGTCACATGCTGAGCGGTTTCCAAAAAGCCTGCAGCGAAAACCCCTGAAGAAGTAGCGCAACGCAGCAAATCTCAGTCGACATTTGGGGAATTGAAGTCTCCTAATAGTACACAGTCCTTTCCCCCACCATACATTTTAATGGAATCCAGCAGCCGAGATCCGGAACTCAAAGGAGCTTTATAGACAACCCCGACCATCAGGGATCTGCATCCATCATGAACCCGGCATCACAGGGCTACGAAACTACCATTACCATCACAAGTAGCTTCAACTAGATGAACCTTGAGGTCTGCATTCCAATGCAGAATCACACCGCCACCAGATCTCCCTCCTTTGCTGTCAGCGCGGCAGAGATGATATCCGGGGATCTGCACCACCGAGTCCGGGATATCCGAGGACAACCAAGTCTCGGTGAAAGCTATTATGTCAGGATGACTCACTGAGGTAAAAAAGTACTTTTCGTCGAGATTGTTTCGAATACTGCGCACATTAGCGGAAATTACGCGCAAGAAAAGGTTTCCAGCGAGTTGTGATAGCTTTTCAGGCTACTCGAAAATCCACCATATGTAAAGCTGTCTCACCGTTGTCTCGGCGGGATCTGAGTTCGTCAACCGCTTGTTTCATTTTTACTAGATTTTCCCGGGAAAAATCTCGCAATACGTAAAATGATTCACCTTTAAGACGCGGGGCTCGTCGAAGAATGCCATGGGTCTCGTCTTCAGTTTGACATACAATTTTAAGTTGATGTGCATTTGAGGAGTCCTCCTGTTTTTTGCCGAGGCGGAAAGCTGAAACAATGTTGATTCCCTGTTCTTCTTCATCGAACAGTAAAGAGATAATCCGTTGTAGGAACTCCTGGTCATCTACAATCCTTTCAGCTGGGGATGGCCTTGGTGGACTCGGCTGCATTCACTATGATAAGGCAGCGGTCGCGAGATGGCGATTTGTCATTCTCATGGATCATCGGATTCAGAAAAGGCGGACCTTCCTTAAGCAGTTTCTCCAGTTGACAGACACTGTCGAGAACCAAATTCAACTGCGATGGAGATGATGACTACTTGGATTTTAGCCTAACTCCTGCCTTGATTTTACGTTCAACATTTCGTACATTTTCCTTCACCACCTCTGCGTATGTCCTAGCAATCATGTGGGGCCGTCCGAAACGTCTGCGCAAAATGTTCATTGCTTCTTTAAAACGTTCGCCAGGGTCGAGTAGTAAGCAACTTTCGATAGGTTCTTTGGCTTCACCACAACAGTACTGTGGCAGATATGAAGGCCTGGTAGCTGGATCGGAAGTAGTTTTGGAAACATTGGCTTCGAAGCATCGCATAATTATCCAATAGCGAGCAGGATCTCCATCGAATGTCATCAGTTAGCGTTTTGGAAGAAAGGATGCCGTGTTGAGTCAAAAATCGCTGGGTTAGCGTTCCGGACACGGGTTATTGTCAGCATGCAGGCTGGAGCAAAAGGTCCCCGGGTGTGATCGAACCCGGGCACCATCAGAAGCCGACGAACATACCAATTGAGCTAAGGACGGGACGCTCGGAGTCCTATTAGTGGACTTTAAAAAAGACGAGCAGATGACAACTTTGGCCGGAAGTTCACAATCTTCGGCTGGAATAAATTGCGATCGTTCACTAACCAGCGCATCCGACTTGAATTCAGGTTCGTAGTAGTCCTTAACGTCAACTGTTTTCGCCTGTATCATGCGCATGTTCGTTAAAGCCGACTTCAGCGGACGAATACGGATTCAGCTCTCTGAAGCTTCTCAGCATCAGTAGCGTTAACATCATCAAGAGAATCACCAGCACTATTCAACTTATGTACCAATGATACGAAGTCTAAACTAAGTACGTCGTACGAAAACTAAACTAGAAATCACGAACAAATAAACACATACTTAACGCACCGTCTGGGCGGAAGAATGAAACGAACTATCCTGTAACCGTGGTTCTATAAGGCGTATTAAATACAGTACATGACTTATGAATAGGTCTTTCAATCGTAGTGCAAGAGGGCAGAACTTATACAGCGTGCGTCGGCGTGCGAGTATTTGGGCATTGTCACAGTAAAATAATAATATGAATGACCTTGAAACGTCAAGGATATGTCAGTGATCGAGTGAAAGGAATAAATATACAATATGGTAACCGATTGTGGGATACAGAAAAGCAATGTAAAATGAGCAGAATAATTAGGGAATAGTGATATCTTGTCCTCATGTAAGCGATCCAGGTTGGGGATACATCAAAGTTCATTTTGTACTTTATAACGATGATGTTGATGCTGATGATGTCGATGAACACGGAGTAGCATAGGGAGCTACGAAGACTGCTGCAAAGACCATGGATACATGCAAGTGCTTCCAAAGTAGGACTCATTTGAAGGAATGTGGTGCGCAACTTCATACCTGTCGCGACCAATTCACGCCTTGTGCCATCGCGACTGATCAAATGCGGAGATTGTTTTTTGAAGTAGCCGGACTCTTACCTACCATCAATACATATCCTAGATCTCGTAAACTCGAACTAGTGAGCGATTCAAATCCGATTGGCATGTAGGCGGAGTCAGTAAAACAAGTCACTAACGCGCGAACATTGAGTGTTCTGTTTGGAATACGCTTGAAGACCCACTACCTCTAAAGAAGATATAAGCCCTCAAACAACCTCGCATGGTGTAGTCCGAAAGAGGTGTATCACTGAGTGAATTTAGTTTCTCATACTAGCGGTCCGGCGCTTTGACACAGGGTGTTTACCAGGCAGTTCGTTCCGGGATACTCGTGGTTACCTGTTTTAACGGCCAAAGATTTGTGAGGCACTGCTTGAGCTCAACGAAGCTTGGCCAGTGATGCTGGCAAGAATAGTTTAAGATGGCCTGCGTGGGTCTTGGGATTCCATTACGAGACGCCGTCTGCTTTCTTTGAAATGAACTGGGGCCACAAATGTAATGTTTTCTTTCCGACCGCGAAATGTGGTATGATATGTGGTGGGTAGATGGCAGAAAATTGGTCATAGGTATTCGGTATAACAATGTTCATACTACTGCATTATACAAACTAACTGAAGCAGCTCGTCATCCACATCGGTCGTGGACAGAGACATAGTTTTCATTGATCGGGCAACTGAGACCATAAGTTCCGAGAGTACCGGTGGCGTCGAGCCATCGCACCAAGGGTTAAAATGCTATTCAATAATATTTATGACTACATACGCGTGCGTTTCGTCGTATGTGTGTGGATCATCACTGGAATAGTTGTGTAATAGTCCAATATAACCGATGCAAGAGATTTGGTTGTCTCTCGCGGACACATGCACACATCGAAGCCACACGAAGACACAAAAGCGGTACCTATCGGCTGTACTTTGTAACTCAGCTTCACTGATCACTCATTATGGTTAACCAAGGGATGGCGGTTGCTTTTCGGCTCAGGTTTGGTCTCGGGAGGGAACTATAAAGTTTCCAACCATGGCATCGTTTCTATGTTTCTCTGAGAGAGCGATTGCCTCAATGATATTCACCTTTTCGGTGAACGAAGGCTTCATTCCGAAATATTAGAAGGTACTTGGGGCCGATCGGGAAGTTATGAGTTCCGAGAGGTTTAGAAACAATCGGTTAGTGTATTTACTGTGCAAATTTCACTTTTGACAGCAAATCATTGTCAGGCTAGGTATACAATTGGAGCAGCATTTTATGGCTAACTAGGACGCTCATCACTTCACTGTAATTAGTGCAAGGAAATTTAGCCAAATGGAGTTTGTGTATGTGGCGGTATTCCGACAATGATAACAGGCCAGTTTCATTTTAACTCAATCGTTGTTTTCTACTCCGGTACATTGAGTTGGTCAGTCACCTAGTTCATTCACCAAAACATTATCTTGGTGGATACATTTTATGTGTCGCCTCATATAACACTACACTCCACGTACTCGTTTGCACTAGACGCGTAGCTTCCGTTAGCTTGATATGTGCATTGGATGGGATGAACCAGTTCCGCCTCTCCCGCTCGGAGTAAGAAACTACCATATCCAGCGAAATCACAAAGAACTCTAAACTGTAATGGATATGTGCGTAACTAGAAAGTCTCTTTGACTCAGCTGTGGGGTCGCTTGTTAATCGAATCCTTGCTGCTGAACAGACAACTGTCAATTGCGAATGTCAGATGAAGCCCTGCATCCTGAGCTGTGCCTTGAGGCAAGAATGAACTGAGTAGTTCCAGTCAGTAGTTGCGTCTACGCATGACATTCTCTTCACCACCGTAAGATCAGTGGGCTTTGAGATGTTCGACCTGTCAGAGTGAGTTGCCGTTAGATTCGGAACTTCGTCATACACTTGGTTAAGTGTACGGATGTTCTTCATGCGGCTTTAGTTTGAGAATTTGATGGGTGGCAACCGACTCATGACGAACAACTACAACTAAGTTCCCCGGTTAGCTGTTTTCGCGTGAGCAATGAGAACACAAAGTTCGCTTCCCATGCCAGCCCTACTGGTGGCTGTATTATGGGGACAACATGATTCCAGATTTAACTAAGACTCAAGCAACCATGACGGTAGGTGACAACTGTTGCTGGTTACTACTCTAAATGTGACGAGTTGCATAAAAAATAATGACTATCGAATAGACTTCAGAAATTGATTATACCTTCTGATGGATTTTTCGAGCCATTTTTGTTGTTCTACTTACAGGTAAAGCGATTGATTTCCGGGTGAGTTCACATGTTAGCTGGTTTAACGAATTTCATTGCATGGTTTCAAAAGTGCTAAGGACAGAAGAGGACGAATTGATCGGTAACTATCCCGTAATTTCACCCTATTTACTTACACGAAGGCCAGCGCATAAGCAAACCATGGAATGCCAACATGCACTGCTAGCAAGTATAAATCAAAAACACGGATCCAGAGTAAACCAGTTTTAACCAACGAGGTGAACTCAAAAACCGAAGTCTATCTAGGTGTGTGCCGCACCACACAAGCGAACCTACTCGATTACACAGCCCGCATGATGATCAGTGGCGAGCTTGGTAAAATGCTGAAGCTCGGCAATGGTGGATTAGGTCAACCCCAGGGTTGGTAAGCAAACCTGCCTTAAAATCATACCGGAACTGTTCACTGGAAGGGTACGCTGCCAGACGGTAACGGTACATCCAAGAGCAAGAATTGTAAACATCGCCTATTCTGTGGACAGCATTCAGTTAGATAGAAGTAGGAAGCTTTTCAGTTTCCGACTTTCTACAAGCCGCTATGTTTAATATGAGGCCATGTGGACTCCTCAGCCGATTCCGGGACCACGGAATGTCTCGTGAAATGTAGGCTGCTAAAAAATGTTGTCATACCAGAGGTCACGTCAAATACAGTCAACAAAAGCTTCATGTATCAGGGCATGGAGACTATTCCTTCGCAGCACACACCAGTGGGAGCGAGGGGAATGTTGTGTAAGCGCAAATTAGTTATCAATTAAAAAGGATTTGTCCTTAGTAACCAATTTTCCTGGGCAAACTTGAGGACGACGGCTTAGCTGCCTAACACGGCGAAACCATCATTATGGAAAATGAAAAGAGATTGTGGAGGTAGCCGCATCTTGTGATCGATCGGCGTCCTGCACTGGTAATCGTGTGAATTTGCGATCAGGGCGGGTGTTCGCGTCTCTGATTTATCTGGCCCAAATTACCTTCATCATAGAGTGATTTGAACTCCCAACTTCTACATGATTGCAGGCAGGTGGCAGTTTAATGTTGCCAATGAACTCCGATTCAATGTGCTCAAAGCTGGTAATCTTGACAGTGCCCTACAACTCATAAGTGATAAGTAGGTAGGTCAAGGTTAGCGGTCAAAATACACCGGGGCCGAAAATGCCATCTGGTAGCTGAAGTTACTAATGTAACACAAGAGTCCTTTAACTCACAGATAAAACAACTCGGGTAACTAGACCTACTGGTCCGTCAAATGAATCGGCATGTACTCGGAGACCCAGGTGTGTGCTCCAAGGATGGGCAGCGGATGCTTTGTGAAATGGGGCCAGAACACTTTATGATAGATCTTCCGACGCATGGCTAAGAAGCGTTAGCAGCTCTGCCACGTTTGATTCGAAAATTACAGCGCTCCACACAACGGTAGCATGTGGGTCGATCATAGCCAACCCATTTTGCATCAGTTCACGAAAATAGACCCATGTGACAACAAATTACTTGCCAGAAAATTTGCATTACAACTGATAAATATTTATGGGTCACTTGAGTTCCCCCAAAGAAAAATGTTCGACATGATCAACGCATTTTTACTTGTCGGGCTTTTATCCAAAATTAATCGGTCATCCATTGCGATGCTTTTCGTACAGTTCGCATGTTCGTGATAAAGGCTTGCACCATTAAGTCGAGCACTATCAGTTTCATCGTGTACTAGCAGTTTAAAGAAGGCAAGCGCCTGACCAATGTGGCGCTGGAAAATAGCTCCCAAATGTTTCGCCCCACAACCTTCGAAATAGCAACCGACTGACGTCTTACCACGTTCAGCTAAGTGCCGCATACTTAGCAAAGATTGCAAGGCTTGAATTCATCAACCTAACCGCTAGTGTTTAAACGTTTCTCTCACTTCTGCATTACTTTGTTTCAGCACTGGGGAATTCCTCTCAGCCGTCGGTTCAGGTCACTGAAGTTGTGGTTTGTCATGAGGGCCTACGGCGCGAGCGGACTGAGGTCGTACATCAGGAACGTAAGTTCCATACACTCAGTAATCAATACTATTTTCTTGAGTCACACTACAACCGAATGTGTGATATAACCTAATCGAATCCTTGACCCGATACAATGCTCAAGGAATTTATACGGGTTTAGGAGCAGTGTTTACAAATCCGGTTGGCTGACCTCGTGACGTTGTCGAAAAAGGTAAGAAAAACTGTTAGTACTTTAGTTGGTGGTCAGTGTGTTCGCTGCAAGCGTTTCGTCACCACCCGAGGTGACATCATCAGTGCGCGTTTATGTAGTAGAGCGGCGCGGTACGAAGTGTCAGTGAGTGCGAGTGCTTGATCTTCTAACCGTTAGTCTGAGTTTGGATTGTTCGACAGGCACATGACCATCGAAATCGATCTCTGATTCTTGCGTCGTAGCGTACGCGCACGTGCCTCTTCGGTTGTCGTCGTCGTTTGACGCAGTTGTCCAGCCTTCTGTTCCGTTAGATTTAATCCACTAATTCGGTGATCTTGCATCCGTAGCGTTGCATATATAGCATCTATTTGAACGCGTCGGTTTATTGAATTTTCTGTAGAATACCCCTTCTTCCTTTGTAAGCCTGTCGTTTCGAAGGTGTTACATGCCCGGCAGGTAGAACACAGCGTACCACATTCAAGTGTGTAACCACTTGGAGTACGCGATCTATGTCTGGCGCCATTGGCGCAAACATGATGCTGATGCACTCGTAGCCTCTCAAAGTTGGTATTCTACAGAAAATTCAATAAACCGACGCGTTCAACTAGATGCTATATATGCAACGCTACGGATGCAAGATTACCGAATTGGTGGATTAAATCTAACGGAAAAGAAGGCTGGACAACTGCGCCAAACGATGACGACAACCGAAGAGGCACGCGCGCGTTCGCTATGACGCAAGAATCAGAGATCGATTTCGATGCTCATGTGCCTGTCGAACAGTCCAAACTCAGACTAACGGTTAGAAGATCAAGCACTCGCACTCACTGACACTTCGTACCGAGCCGCTCTACTGCATAAACGCGCACTGATGATGTCACCTCCGGTGGTGAAGAAACGTTTGCAGCCAAACTGCCTTGCACAGCGAACACTCTGACCAACAACTGAACAACCTGAGTTACCAATAGTTACTTCTATATCACAGTACTTTAAGTAGCAAAAGAAGGACTTGTCGGTTATTATACGGTAACAGTGCACGCCACGTGTTTTCACTGCACCAACAAGAAATGGCTAATAAATAGAAGGTATATTCCAGGAGTACAATGGTGAAATTGTGCTAAGTACCAAAATGTAAATGGATAATTGCCTCGTCCAGCTGCTGGGGTAGAAACGACCGTTTCAAGAAGAACATTATACTGGTGACATACGCAAATATAAAAGACATTTCTGCGACACTACAGATCCCTGTATCCTTCTGCAAGTTTCATTGAGTAACCTCTCAGTTTTGTATTACTGTTTGATTAAAGTAAGGAGCGACACATATAATGTTGAACTTGCAGAATCAAGTATGACATCATCAGGTCGCCTCGTATTCGTTGAAACTGTCAGTTGAATACCCAAACGCTTCAGCCTCTGCTCGTAGGGGAGATTGTGCATTCCAGTGACCTATTGGGATATATGATCTTGCGACTTCTCCAGTGCACTGAGATCGTGTCTCAGTCATTAAAGCCGAGGTTACATTGCGTATTCGACATGGGGGCAAGCATCTATCGAAAAATAAGTATGGATATTTGCCTGAACGCAAATCTCAACAGTCCGAGGCGTTAGTAACCAGTTTTCTATACCTCTTTGAATTGCCGGGAGCAACTCAGATCATCCTGAACTAGCACACTCAGATCACGTTCGACAGAAGATCGTTACAGTACTTGCACTCCTAGTCTTGTATGAGTAGATGGTTTGGTGTCGTAAGCGGAGTTCCTCGCATTGAGTCACGTTGCAATGCACGAAATTTTGGATTGAATACTGATGTCTAGGTCACTCTGAAGCAGATGCTGGTCGGCAATCTCTTGAACCCGGCGACATATATTGATGTCGTCGTCAAACAGTAGGAAATTGGTAAGGATTTTGTGTGCGAGGTCATTAGTAAATACCAAAAACAATCGTGGCCCTAAAACTGCCTTGCGACATTCCATACTCGACTTGTAAGATAACAGATAAGGAGCTGCAAATTCTTGCCACTAAATATCTTTGGGAGAGAAAGTTGGCTATCCAGCCTATGAGAGGGCCACCGATCCCGTAAAACTGGTGCTTGTAAAGGATATCCGAAGATGTATACGATCAAATGCTTTCATATAATCCGAGTAGATCATGTCAGCGTCACAAGCGTCAACTGACTCCATGCGATTAGTAAGTTCGTTGTGCACAATTACTGTCGACAGAAGCTGTGCTGCTCAGGAGTATTAATGTCGTAATTTTCCCGATATCACACCAGCGTATCGACAACGACGGGTTCCGTGACGTTGGACAGTAGCTAGAAAGGAGATAATGAGCGCTAATTCAAAGTCTCAGCCCTGCCTCCCCCTTTGTAAATCAGAGTCAATAATCCAAGCTTATACATGGCAGAAATCTGGTTTTGGTCAAAGCAGCTTTGGAAGAACTGTACCAGATTTTCTGCTAGTCCTCTTGATGATGCTGCCAGTGCCTCAACTTCCGGGAGTTATGGTTGCGCAGAGACGTCAGATTCTGCAATATAGCTTCAGCGGTAAAAGGGTTGTAGGTGAGTCTCAGAGGCGTGGCGATAAATAATGGGGCATATGGCATCTGCATAGTGTTTGTTGTTGGGCTGTCAGCTGTTCGGAGTGGAAGGAATACCTGCCTAACCTTCTGTAGGCCATAGACGTGTTTGTACAGCAGTTTGTGGTTAGCGCTGAAGGTTCGCAAGATGTTCTGCTGATATGTGGATTTGTCTACTCCGGGCAGTTGAGTGCAGCAGTTACCTTCGGCTACACACATTTCCCAGGTTTCTGGCGTTGGAGCTAATCTCTAGGCTGGCTAAGCTGAGTTGTATGCTAACATCCTTCTTTGTGTCCTGCTCCAGACGAAAGTAACTGGTTTAGAGCCATTGTGAACGCTTGTCTTTGAAGCATCTATAATTAGTCGACTGAAGTTTTTAACGAACTCGTGTGTTCTTCGGCGGGACAGGACGAAGTTGTAGCACTGACAAATTGTCTTAACTGGTCGTAGTGTGTGATGGCGCGAACTGTCTCTTGGTTTGCATCTCGATATTCCGCATAGCAAACAAAGTTGAAACTAATGAATGCGTGGTCATTGTGTCCCAACTGATAGTCTACAGCTAAAACGTCCCTAATATGTTCCACTGTGGTAAGCACAAAAATTAGCGCAGATAGCCTTTATCTTTTTTGAATTTAGTGGGTAAAGTGATACGATCGTAACGCGAAACAGTGGTTACGAGCTCTTTCAGATAAGCTTTAATAGTTCTCCAACTGTAGCAGGGCTTTTGAAATATTATGGGTTGAAATCACCCATGATAAGTATGAGATTTTATCTCCCATTTTTGTGCGTCTTAGAGCAATCACAGGGGCAGTCCGTTTTGAGTGTATAGTTTAGGGGCAGTATACCAAATCCATAAGGCAGGTGTCTTGCATTCCAAACTGCAGGTGGCACCAAACAGAAGTAGGGAACTGCGAGTCTGAATCCCCCACGGCCTCACACTGTAGGTCGCTTCAGTAATACAGAATTACCCCTCCTTCCTTTGTAAGCCTGTCGTTGCGGAGGAGTGATATGGCAAGCTCTAGACCTCAGCGTACCTCATTCAAATGTGTAGCCACGTGGAGTAGGCGATCCATGTCTGGCGACGCGGACACAAACATGATACTGATGCGCTCGTAGCCTCGCCAAGTTGGGCGAAGAAAATCGCCAGAGAACTGTCACGCTTCTCCTATCAATGCAGATTGCAAGCCTCAGGCTTGTACAGCGGCAAATAGCAGTGTATGCTCACTGGCCCTCTACGTGTAGTAGCGCTGAGCAGACCAGCTTGTGTGTTCATTTGAATAACTGGGAAGTCACCATAAACCTGAATTTCCCCCTTTCCCTGTCATCTTAACTAATCATTTTACAACCCCATTCTGTTCAGCGTAGGGGACTTGTCAAACAATCGATTTTGCCCTTGATAAATCATTGTTCATTGCTCATGTCTCCGTGACCCGAATGATATGGCAAGGCTTAGAAAGTTGGCGCTTTCAGTTCGGCTTGCTTATCGAAAATCGTTTAAGAATCGGTATAAAAGCAGACCAGGTTTTCAGTTGGCTAGAGTAAGGTGTGGGAAAATGCCGACTTATGTGAGATCGGTCGTTTTTCGTTTTTTGATAGAATAATAATAATTCATCCACGGATCGATCCGCTCAATCTACATTTCATTCCTTATCCAAACCTACTGCATAATCGTGTGAAAGAGCCGTAAAGTGAAGTTGCCGTGTCACTGCCATTAGGTTTGGTTTTTCTGATAAGCTCATGTCTGGTCTTCGCAAGGCTTCTGAAACTTTTAACTGAAGTTCAGTGTGAAGGCTCTTCCGATTTTTCCGCCAACGCTCTAAAACATTCGTTGCTCTTTGCTCTAACTGAACCACGTGTTTTGTGATTCTTTGGCCGTATCCTCAATATTTTGGTGAGAAGGATAACCTCATGGGAGATCGAGCAATTCATCATTCAAGAAAATTGTTTCTCAACGAAACTGCCACTAACAAATCGTGATTTCCTGACCCATAACTACCGTTTGAAGGAATCGCTGGCACGCAGTGGATGAGGAGTGTGTTCGGACAATCCTGCTTGCTGTATCCCTCCAAGACGTTTCTTGTCGATTGTCACGCGCTCCAACGGACATCAGGATATATGCGTCTTCTATACGATCCTCGTTGTTACGCAATTGCAGAGAGCAAAACCTTTTCTACGTCAGTGGCTGATTCTAAACGTATTTTCAGTGCGTCTGGGTTTCTCAGTGTACTGCGTTCAAGTGACGAGTTACTCGTATTACGTTTGTGGGTTCGGCTT